TTGATTTAAATATTTTTCTTAGTATATTTCTGATAGTTTATACTTAAAATCTTGAATTTTTTTCTGAGATGTGGTGTTAGGTTTGCCATGTGACAAACTAATGGAAATGTATATCCTGTTTAAATATTTATTTTATATATATATATATATATATATATATATATAAGGAAAACTTAGCTGACGCATTTTGTCTTCTGATAGACTTTACCAAGGCAAATGTAAGGATTTTATTTTGCAACAAGTATTTATAAACAAGTAAAAATGTTGTTAGTGTTACAGAATTTTTCTAAATATACATCAGGCATCCTACATAATTTACCTTGACTTTCAGTTAGCCTGATGTATATTTATGAGTGTTCTGAAATTTAAAAATTGTTGTTCTCATCTTTGTTGCCATATTCACAATGTTTCGGACGTTGTACACTCCAGTCTTCTTCAGATGATTGGAATTTTGAATTAAACCCTTTATTTCATCCACAGAGGTGGATTGTTCTAGTTCCACATGCCATGCTTCTTCCGGATGTCTCTGTTATCTCCATTTAACTCAACTCTCCAAGTTTTTGTTCACCACTGCAGTAGCCAGTTATTGAACTCACAACTCTTTGGCTCAAGTCACTGGATCCAACCAAGGCTTTTATCCACTGGGCCATGTGTTAAAACTGATTCCAGTTACCTAAAGAAGTCCAGAGTGTACAATGGCTGAAACATTGTGAATATGACAACAAAGATGAAGACAACAGTCTGAACATTTGATGGAAAGTTAAATGCTAAACTTAGACACATCCTTATTGGTCTTCAAGATGAGTTTAGGTTCAGTGAATTTTTAGTCTTGAGGAAGAAATGCATGAAATTTATAAAATCTATACATAAAAACATTTTTTTCCAGAAAATAGGTTTCTAAAATTCAGTAATTGTTATTGATCTTTCCAGTATTGATGGGGGTTTCCTTCTAAACCATTGTTTGAAATCATGTGGAATGCCAACATCTTGATTATATCATTATTTTCTCTTCAAGTTACATGTGCTCTACATTTTAGTTATTGCTGTCATTGAAAGCAAGTTAAAGGTAGGAAATGGGGAGATATTGTTTAAAAATATTGAAGAGAATATTTATCTTAAGGGTTGTTTGTGTTGTACCTGATGATGTCAGTTGAATAATTTTATTGGTTAAGCTTAACAAATAAGTTATATACCATTCTTACTTTTTTACTTCATGATTAATATATTTCCTAATGAAATTATTAAATCTTTTATTCTGTTTTGAACTTTCCTCAACAAATGATTGTTGAAAGTATTAAGAAGATAAGAATTCCCTATTTTCAGATGTACTGCAAATATCAATGATGCTTTTATTTTAATACAGTGGATTAAAATTAAAAATTTCTGTGATATTTTGATGAAATTTAAAAAAATATTCAAATCAATTGAGAGTATACTTTTTAATCATATTTATTTAATTCTTAAAACTGGACATTTTTTTTTTGAAGATTGCTTTTAATATTGAAAAGGATTTGGGGATTTTTATGTCAGACATTTGTGAATAAGTTATGCATATTGATTTTTTGAAATCAGTGATTAATGAAAGGCACTATATTTGATGAATCTTATTTATTGTGAGGATTAAATCATATCAAATGCTGATTGACGCATTATTGATATCTAATTCTAGTTTAGACATTCTTGTTTACAACTGGTACAAATCAAAATTTATTTTATGCTTGTCTTCTTTTGTAAAATAAACACTATCAAAGATTAATTTTCATTCTCCGTTCTTATTTACCAAAGGGATTTTACTGTAAGATTACAAAAAGTATGCGACTTTCTTTTGAACTTAAAATAAGGGATCACTTTTCTATATGCAAAAAGTATTTGTCAGTACATTTTGGATATCTTTTACATAAAGTGTCTTAGAATTGGAGACATTTAATTTTCTGAATAGGATTGCAACAGACAATGGAAAATGTGACACAGATCAGAATGTGCATTGGAATAGTGAAAGATTCTGTAACAAAGCTAAACCAAGTATTAAGAAACAGCTGAATTGTTTCCTCACACATGAAGAGAAGACTTGAGGCAACAGATTTCTACAAAAGGATGCTGAAAATATCATGGACTGAACATATGAGTAATAAAGTTTCAAGGAAACTGGAAACAAAAAGGATACTTATACTTACAATCAGAGGCAGTTGAAAGTTCTGGAACCTATAATGAGGAAGGAGAGTTTAGAGAATTTAACACTCACAGGACATATTGAAGGCAAGTGGGACAGAAAGGAAATAATGAATAAGTTATTTAACAAGTTTATATAAACAGCAAAACAGAAATTAGGAGGGATGGTAAAAAAACAAAGATTGCTAAGAGCTATAAAGAACAGAAAGCTTTGCAGAGCTATGATTGCCTATATCCTAAAGGGACATGGCACATAAATGTGTTAGATTAATTTATAATATTCTAAGTAAACCTGTATTTTGTGTCAACCTGCCAGTATCACAGTAATGAATAAAATTAGATCTCTCTTGCTCTCTCTCTCTCTTCCCCATCTCTCTCTCTCTCTTCCCCCATCTCTCTCTCTCTCTTCCCCATCTCTCTCTCTCTCTCCCCCATCTCTCTCTCTCTTCCCCCATCTCTCTCTCTCCCCCATCTCTCTCTCCCCCATCTCTCCCATCTCTCTCTCTCCCTTCCCCCATCTCTCTCTCTCCCTCTCTTCCTTTCCCCATCTCTCTCTCTCCCTCTCTTCCTTTCCCCATCTCTCTCTCTCCCTCTCTTCCTTTCCCCATCTCTCTCTCTCCCTCTCTTCCTTTCCCCATCTCTCTCTCCCTCTTCCTTTCCCCATCTCTCTCCCCTCTCTCCTTTCCCCCATCTCTCTCTCCCCTCTCTTCCTCCCCATCTCTCTCTCTCTCCCTTTCCTTTCCCCCATCTCTCTCTCTCCCTCTCTTCCTTTCCCCATCTCTCTCTCTCCCTTCCTTTTCCCCATCTCTCTCTCCTCTCTTCCTTTCCCCATCTCTCTCTCTCTCTCTTCCTTTCCCCCATCTCTCTCTCTCCCTCTCTTCCTTTCCCCATCTCTCTCTCTCTCTCTCCCTGTCCTGGATATGGCGATAAACCACATCCACACCCTGGGTAAGATGATAAACTGCATCCAACATCAAGGCTTCTGATCAGGAGGTTTTGAGGAGTGTGGAACCACATCTTAATTGCTGATGTCCCCAGGTCCACCCTGAGCCAGGGTGGTACTAACTGTTAGTGACCCAGCTATGGACAAATAGTTAACCCCCAAACTGGCGTCAAAACATGATGAAAGCGTAAAAATAGGTTTTAATACCAGAAATACTGTGTTAAAAAAAAAATTTATTACCAGCAATACGTTTTTTGAAAAAACAAATATTACCAGTGAAGGAAAATTCTTACCAAAAATAGATTTTTGGAAAAAAAAATATTACCAACAATGAAAATTTTGTCAGCATTAAATAACCCATTGAGGTTGATATGTCATAAAACAAAACAAACTGAACCTTCTCTCTCTCCCCTCCTCTCTTCCCTCTTTCCCTCTTTCCCTCTCTCTCCCCTCCTCTCTTCCCTCTTTCCCTCTCTCTCCCCTCCTCTCTCTTTCCCTCTTCCCCCTCTCCCTCTTTTCCTCCTCCTCTTCCCTCTTTCCTCTCTCCCTCCTCTTCCTTTTCCCTCTTCCCTCCTCTCTCCCTCCCCTCCTCTCTTCCCCCCCTCCTCCCCTCCCTCTCTTCCCCCTCTCTCCCCCTCTCTCCCCTCTCTTCCCTCTTTCCCCTCCTCCCTCCTTCCCTCTCCTCTCTCCCCCTCTCTTCCTCTTTCCCTCTCTCTCCTCCTCTTCCCTCTTCCCCTCTTCCCCTCTTCTCTCCCCTCTTCCCTCCCTCTCTTCTCTCCTTCCCCTCTTCCCCTCCCTCTTCCCCTCTTCCCCTCTCTCTTCTGTCTCTTTCATCTTTCCCTCTCTTCCCTCCCCTTCCCACTCCTCTCTCTCTTCTCCATCTCATTGAGTTAATAAGCATTCTAAATATACATTATACTTCAAAGAAATGCAAATGTATTCAATCAACTAACAAGCTGATGGCATTAGTTTTCTGGGAGGCAAAATAAATACTACTGATTAACTATTCTTTGTAAAGGATTAGCTGAAGTATCTGTTGTGAGAGTATGAAGAAAAATAATTACATTGATTTACAAGCGATGTACATACACAATTGAGGACTGATACCATTGTTGTATGACAAGACTGACTTTGAATTTTTTTTAACCATCAAAATCTCATTACATTTAACTTGAATCTTGTCTCTAATATAAAAACATTGACTTCTAGGTATTAATCAAAATATTCAATTATTGTTGAGTTCTTTGAGGAGGAAACAATTGGATGGGGTCAAAGCTATGAAAGAGGAAAGAATTTCAATAATTGGTAACACTCTCAATGTCAAGGCTACAAACTTCATAGATTAGTACTTTTCTTTAAAAAAAATTTTTTTAAAAGTTACTTGGCTTTTTTTGTGCAGACACTGACTAATTGGCCAATTGTGATCTCCTATCTAAGATTATTAATTATCTATGCATATTCATATGAGAGAAGGAAATGTTTGTTTTTACAATAACTGTTGATTACGGCTCTTTGACGTCAGCTTAATCTATATTGTAAAAGAGCTGATTCTCTGTCCATCACGTGCTGTCTTGTGTGACTTTGTATGTGCATATATAATGTATATGTGTGTGTTTTGTACATGATTGATTGATTCGTTTCCTATGGCTTACAGGTTATTTAAAGCCAGAAAATATATTTAGATTATAAGATTTTTTTGAGATGATAATTTAATGATACAAGTCTTACTAATTAACCCATAGCTGGTGGAGAAGATGTGGATTCATACCTTTCCAAGGATATTTGTGCTTTCATACCTTTCCAAGGATATTTGTGCAATAGTGAATATAATGAACCCAACTGGAATTGGAACTTGGCTCTCAACACTCAATTGCTAGCTATTATCCATTACACCATCTGGTATTCCCAAGTAGTCACTCATCTAGGTACTGACCAAGCTCAATATTGCTTAACTTTGGTGATTGTACAGGAACCAGTGTTTCAATGTGATGTGACCATA